CAAGAGGAGGAAAGGGCCGCAGCGGCCGAGGCGGCCGAAGCAGAGCGACAGCGACAGCGGCAGAGACAAGAGGAGGCAAAGGCGCAGAGCAAGGCACGCAAAAGCGAGGAGTCACAAGCCAGCAAGAGTGAGGAGAAGGAAAGCAAAAAAAGGCATGGAGAGGCTTCGGAGGAGAAGGCGCCGAAGCCCGAGGATGAGGAGCGGCGCAGACGGCATGAAGAAAAGCGGCGCCGTGAGAAGGAATTGGCGGAGCGGGAAGAAGTTTTGGCGCCAAACGAGAGTTCAACGCCAATCCCAAATGCTGGCCGCAGCGACCAGCACCGCACTTCTAATGCGCCGACTACTGTCACTACGCCTGCCGCCGCAAGTGCAGTTGCGACTCCCTTCGCCGCAGGGAAGGCCCCGCCGCGCACCAAGCCGACGCACGAAGTTTTGGAGGGGCCCCAGTTAACCGCCGCCCCGATCCCTGGCGTCATTCGTGAGAGCAAACGCACGGCGGGCGTGAAAGCGCAGGAGCTGGAGGATGAGGATGACTGGAAGCGGGTCGCCGAGCAGCAGGAGGCAAAACCAGTCACCAGTGGCAGTGGTAGTGGCGGAGGTGCAGGCGAAGCGGAGGCAAGAGGTTACTTGGGGCAGCAGGCGCTGAAGGCAAAACGCGAGCAGGAAGAGGAGGCCGCGCGCCGCGCGCAGGATATGAACGCACGTGTCCTTCAAGGCGGAGGCGGCGGTGGTGGGATCATTATCCACACCTCGAAGAGCGGCAAGTCTGGCGCGGCGGTCGCGGAGAGTGAACTCAGCAAGCTGAGAGAGCAACTGCAACTGCTGACAAAGGCCTCCAACCCGTTGGGAAAATTGTTAGAGTCCATCTACGATGATATAGACACCATGGCGAGGGAGCTGGAAATGTGGCGCTCGGAGGCGCGAAGCCAGGCACTAGCCGCGGCGGACGCCAGGCGACAGACGATGGAGAGCCTGCAAGAAGTCCACGCCCAGCTCCAGAACCTGGAGGACGCCATCAAGGATCAGGTCCTGAAGACACACAACATTCGTCGCAGTGTCATTAACAACGACAACGCCATTGCCGGCATGGTCCGCATGATTCTTGGCCCTGACACCGGAAAAGGTTAGAGCGGCCCCTTACCGTTGGCCCATGTAGAAAAGGGAGAGAGCTATGCGATGACAGAAACGTGTGAGGCAAGGAATGGAAGCAAGGTACCCAAAGACGCGGGAAAAAGGAATAATAATTAAAAAACAAAAAAGTGGAAGTTAAGTCTTCCATTGTTTTAGGCCACAGTTTTATTATGTGATTTTTTTTTGTGTTATTGCTGCTTCTCTTGCGGGGTATCTTTTTTTTTTCTTGTTTGCGCTTTCTGTGCGGCTTTCCCCACCGCAAGCCGTGCATGTGTGGGCGCCTTTGGGCACTCGCCTCTCCCAACGCTGTTGCCGTGTGCCTCACGTGCCGCACCCTGCCCCCTCGCTGCGTTCCCCCGGACCCGAGACCCGCAGCGGCGAGGAGGGGACGACGTCGCTGTCGCTCCTCTTGCGTGGAATCCCTCTACTCTTCTCTTGCTGCTGTTTCTCTTTTTTTTTTCTTCCTTTTTGCTTTGTTGTTGTTGCCGTGACTTGCATGGGCTCTGCCTGGTTGCCAGCCTGTGCGTGGGAGGTGCTGCGGCGCAGGGGACGTCTGCAGCGTCCCACGCCGGTAGCAGTGAAGGGAAAGGAGAATTGTCAAAACACTGGACAAGTAAAGTAAAGTAAAGTAAAAAAAAGGAGTGTGGGGGATATCTACACACACAGACACACACGCCTAAGAGGGGAAAAGGAAGGGGCGCCCGCACTGTTTATTTATTTTGTTTGTGTGTGGACTGTTCTTTTGTGAGCCCTTTTGTCGGGCTGTCGTCGCTCGCGCTCGCTCACGCGAAGAATAGCGCCCGCACATTTGTCTAGAAAAAGGCAGCGGTGTGTGCTTCGCATGGAGAACTACGTTCCGATACGGGTGTTGGGCAAAGGGAGCTTTGGCTCCGCCTGGCTCGTGCAGCGGCGCAGCGACAGGATGCAGTTTGTCGCGAAGGAGGTGCGGCTGCTCGGGATGAAGCCTGCGGAGCGGGAGAGCGCGAAGCACGAGATTGACGTCCTGCGCACCCTGCACCACCCCAACATCACCCGCTACGTGGACCACTACGAGCGCAACGGTTCACTGTACATTGTGATGGAGTACGCCAACGGCGGCGACCTCTACACCAAAATTAGAAACCGCAGGGGGGCGCGTTTCACGGAGACGGAGATTCTGCACTACTTTTCCCAGCTTTGCCTCGCGCTTCTTCACCTGCACGAGCGTCACATTTTGCATCGCGACCTCAAGACCCAAAACGTCTTCTTGACGAAGGATGGAATTGTAAAGTTGGGGGACTTTGGCATCAGCACCGTCCTGCGGAACACGTTTGAGCTGCGGCGGACGGTGTGTGGCACGCCCTACTACTTTTCCCCCGAGCTCTGCCTCAACAAACCGTACAACAACAAGAGCGATATCTGGGCGCTGGGTTGCATTTTGTACGAACTCACAACACTCACGCACGCCTTTGATGGAAATAACATGAAGGCGCTTGTACAGAAAATCCTAAAGGGGGTGTATCCTCCGATTCATAGCAGTTACTCACCGAACCTCTCCAAGTTGATTTCAGCCATGCTGCAGATCGACCCAAGGCTGCGTCCCAACGTTAGTCAACTCATTCTCCTTCCGTACATCCGTGACTCGCTGTCGAGTCTGCAGAGAGCCGTGCAGGTTGCCCACCACGATCATAAGCCGTTTGGCCCATCGGGGGAAAAGGAGGAGCCCGCCCGCCTGCAACAGCAGCCGCCACCGCAGCAGCCGCCGCAGCAGGATGGGGCGCAAGAAGCCGAGGAGCGACGGAAGGAAGAACAGGCGAAGGGGTTGAAGTTGGCGAAGGAGCGACAACAGCTGCGGCAGCAAATGGAGCAGCGACAGCGCGAGAACGAGGAGCGGCTGCGGCAAATACAGGTGCAGCAGCGGCAGGCAGAAATTGAGCGCAATCAACGGAAAAAGGAGTTGGAGGCACGGGTGCGCGAGCAACGACGTGAGGCAGAGAAACGCGCCAAGGCGCAGGCCGTTGTTTACAAACAGCGAGAGGAGGAATGGGAGCGTAATTTGCGGGAACAGGCCGAGGAGAATAGACGCAAGCAACGCGAGGAGGAACGTCTTGCACGTGAGAGAGCGGGGCAGGATGCGCTTCGTGAGAGGCTTCTCAAGAACGATGTCAATGGTAACGGCAATGGACAACTGGAGAAGCCGGCGCCGTCAGCCGCTGCTACGGCCGCCGAGTTGTACCGGGAGATGCGACGCCAGGCTGCCCTGAACAAACAGCGCATGTTGGAAGACATGCGGGCATTGCCGGAGCGTGCGGATCCCCCTGTCGTTTCCGCCGCGGCGGGGCAAAGGCGAGTGCCACCGCTTTCGCCAGAGTCTCCACCGCATGCTCGGCAGTGTCAAATTAACTCCTTGGGGAAGATGACACCGGCGGAGGCGGAGGAGGCGCGCCGGCAGGTGTACTTGCAGATGCGGCGTGAGGCACAAGAGAATAAGCGGCGTGCACTTGGCCTTGATGGGGCCCCAGGTGTTGCGTTACCAAAGCACCAGCCACCGGCGCAGCAACGACCTGAGGCAACACCGCAACACGAGCCAAAGCAGGAGCAGCGGCAGGAAGCACCACCACCAGTACCGCAACAAGAACAACAGCAGCAGCGAGCATTGGAGGAAGCCGCGAAGGGAGGACAAGCCGTAGTGTGCGCACAGCGTGTAGCGGAGAGCGCTGCGCCCCGTGTTTCGACGCCCCCGCCGGCTGTGGAGGAGGCACCTGAATGCCCAGCGCCAGATGGTGGGACGACGACACCTGACGACGACCGTGCAGGGAAGAGGCGGGATGAGGATTATAGCGCTCTGCAAACTGTTATTGATGCCGCATTAACGAACGACGAGCCGCGTGCGGATGTGAAGGACTTTCATGATGAGGCCTTCTCCGACGGAGACCCGTCAAAGTTCATGCTGGATGGGCAGACGCTTGTGCTTCCAAACGTTCAAGCAACGGACCCGCTGATGCATCGCATCGAATCCCTTCGTTTATTCCTTGAGGGCCAGTTGGGCGAGTCTGCACTGATGGCCTCGTACCGTCAAATGAACAATATAGCCGTGGACGACGACGAGGCGATGCAGCGTGTAGCAGACATGCTGCCGGAGGAGCAACAAAAATTTATCCCTCTAATTGCACAGCTGATCGTATGCGAGGACGCATTCAATCGTCAGCTTCTACAGTAGCCCTAAAGGGCGGTGCGCCTGTTCGTTCATCTCCCCATAATTTCCACATGTGCCACGCGTTCTTTGAGTTTTCTCTGCTCATGAACGCGTGTTTGCTTGCGTGCTTTGACTTGCTTATTCTTTTTTTCGTTGCTGCTTCTGCGTCTCTCCACTGCGTCAAAAAAAAAAGATCATAACACGAACAATACCATGCCGATTTTTGTTTGTTTGTTTTTGCTCTTGCGTGAGTGAAGGGTGCAAGCTGTTTTCGTGTGCGTATGCGTGTGCGTTCCAGTGCCGCGGGAAGAACGACATGCAGCGGGAGACGGAACTGTTACAATCCGAACTCATTTCTGTCAGGAGGAGCGCACGGTGTGCGTGTGCGTTAGATATGAATGTGGTTTTTCCATCTTATTCTTCCTTCTTTGCCTTCCATTTGCCGCTTGTGTTGGAGGGCAGTGTTTGCTTCTACACACACACACACAGAGAGACCAATAAAAAACATATATATATATATATATAACTATATTTATTTATTTCTTTAGCGGAGGAAGGGGCTGATAGAGACTCGCGTGGCGGAGCTGGAAGGGAATGTATCGGACTGCTCCGTTGCGAGGTGCGAAGTACAATGTCGCCGTGGTGGGCGGCGGCCTCACCGGTTGTCTCGTCGCCGGCCGCCTTGCGATGGGAAACGTGACGACCGCCCTCGTTGAAGAGGGCGACGATATCCGAAGGAAGCCGCGCTGGTACCGAAGCGTTCCCTCCAGTCTCCTCATCCACCGGTTTGCGAGGCGCAACTACGAGAGCTTTGAAAATGTGACGACGCCCCAAAAGACGCACAAGGCAGCGGACGCGCCGGTGCCCGTGACGATTCCCACCCCACGCGTACTCGGCGGGGGCGGCATTATGGGCGGCCGCTCGTGGAACTTGGGCGATCAGGAGGACTGGGAGGGCGCCGGGTGGAGCTTCCGCGAGGAGTTGCTCCCGCGGGTGCAGCGGCTCGAGAGCTTGGAGGATTCCCCACCCCACCGTGGGCGCCGCGGCAAATTTTTCATTTCACGCTCCGAGGCGCTCTCGCCTTTTTTCAAGTCCTTCTGTGAGGCGATGTCGAAGGACACGGCCCTGACCGCCGACTTTAATAGGAAGGAGTACCACGTCCGCCCCGGCTGCGGGCGCGCTGAGACGTTTGTGGACCAGCGAACAGGAGTTGCCCACACCACGCTGCAGAGCTACTTGTTAGACGCCATCGCCCTTAAGCGGCCGCTGGACGTCGTCTGCAACGCGCGGGTCATTGGCATCAACGCAAAGGAAGGCGACAAAACTACCAGCGCCGGTGTTTCCTATGTTTTGTCCAACGGCAAGACCGAAAGCGTTGACGCCGACGCGGTGATTTTATGTGCTGGAGGGATTGGGACACCCCGCTTGCTTGCCTCCTCGCAGGGAACACTTTCGATCGACCCCGCCGTGGGCACGAATTTCTGGGATACGCCGCAAGTCAAGATGCAGTTTCGAACCCGCATTCAGCTGAGCCACAACTGTTTCATGGAACCCCTTGTACAGATGTGTGTGGGGCTAAATCTTATGTACGGCAAGCCGCTCCACGCGCTGTGTTCCGCGTACGATGACATGATATGCTATTGGTCTAGCACCGGTGATCAGTGCCCGGACGTGAAATTTATTTTCCAGCCCTTCACGATGAACAACGACGGCACCATCCCGGTGGGAGGGTCGCATGGGGTGCAAATTATTGCGCAGCTGGTGCGCCCCAAGAGCCGTGGTTGCATCCGTGCCGATGGAACGATTGATCCACAGTATCTGACGCACCCGGATGACGAACGGGCCCTTCACAAGGCGGTGGCGCGTATAAAGGAGCTGACCACGATGCTTCCACTCTCAAACATTTTTTCTGACATGATTGCTGAACGCTTTGAGTCCGCCAGCATCTACGGCGGGGCGTCATTCCCCGTCTTGGACCCTGCCACATTTCGGGTGAAAAACACCAGCAATGTCTACGTCTGCGACGAGAGTCTCCTGCGTTCCCCGCTAGTGGGCGATTCACTGCCGTACATGCTGGCGCTTGGAGAGAAGTTTGCCGACGAGTTCCTGCACAAGCCTGAGATGCGCGGCAAGAAAGAGGAGGAGGATAAGGGAATGAACAAGGCGCGGATTATTTATTGAGCGGCGCAGTATATATAGTTGTTTATATGGTATGGTTGGCTTCTTCTACACATTTTACATCTTCTTCTTCTTTTCCAGTGTGTATGCCTGTGTGTGTTTGCATCCGTTGAGAGAAATGCAATCGAATTTCTTATTCTTCTTCTTCTTGCCGTGACGCTGCCCTGTCCCCTGCCTCTGGGGAGGGCGTGGGGCGCCTCGAATGTACTACGGTCCCTCTGTCTGTCTGTCTGTCTTCCGCTGCCAATTATTATTGCTGCTGCGTTCCCTCGTCCTGCTGCCTCGTCCTGCTTATCCCTTTTCGCTCCTCTGCGCAGGTTTGTGTTTTTTTTTTCCTTCCTTCATTCTTTACCAGGCATCACTGAAGCGTCAAGGCGGGGTGTGCGTCTGTTCGTATTTTTTAGGTCGTCCTTTTTTTATTTTTGTTTTCTGTTGGCCGCCGCGGCGCCCGCGGCGAGGACGCGTTAAGGAGCGAGAAGAGAGTAATTTTTCTAAAAAAAACGAGAGAAAGAGAGAGAGGCAGAAGAAAAAGAGCTAGGAAAAAAAAAGGAGACATTTTTGGTCGTCATTGGGTGAATAAAACAAAAAAAAAGAAAAAGAGGGGCCGCGAAAGACTTTACACACACAACCTGGCAAAAAGAAAAAGAAGAGAGCTGGGCGTTTGGTTGGGACGGACAGGGCCAGTCAGACAAACGTAGACCTCATTTTCGGTGTCAGGGAGTAGGGCGGCGCAGAAGAGTATTTGCTGATATCTTTGCAGCCTTTACTGTCATTATTGTTTGTTTGTTTTTTTTTTCCGGGGGTTTGCGTTGCGCGTTGCCCTGTTTTTCTCTTCGCCACCGAACCGCGCGGGAGTCCTTCAAAATGCGAGAGGGGAACGGAACACCGTCGGCGTCTGGCAACGGGGCAGGCACCCCCCATCCAAATGGGCGCGGCCGCGAGTTGGGCGACACCGGGCCGCCGAGCAACGTCCGCAGGCAGTTCGCCATTCCAAAACTGGATGAGAAGCAACTGGAGATGAAGCTGCAGGAGGCACACGGGCCCGCCGCCTCGTATGTCGTGGCTGAAGGAGGAGTGGGCAGCGGCACGACAACAGCGGCAAACGTCACTACGGAGGCGGCGGCGGTGACGGAGGCAAGCTCCATACCACTGAACTCAAATGCCCCAGCGTTTGTGCTCGGGGCAGGGAATAGGTACGCTGTGGCGAACGCGATTGCCGTTGATAGCCCCTCTGTGAGCGCCACGGCTTTTGCAAGCATGCAGTGCCAGTCCCAGCAGTATCAGCTTCCACATGTGGCTCCAACCGACCAAGAGGTTTATCTCTCACAAAGTCTGCTCCAAATGTGTCCTCGGGAGATATTGTTGTGGGTCTTGCACTCACTTGTGGAGGAATCTCCGGTGCTTGCTCCCTACATTCGTATGCGCTGTGAAAAGGCCCTTCTTGCGATTTCCCAGCAACAGCAGCAGCAACAACAACAACAGCAACAACAACAACTGCAGGCCCCAACGGTTGGACTTTTTGCAACTCATGCTGCTGGTGCCCCTACAGGGAATGCAGCATGGGTGCCACATCTTCCTGCAGCCAACTATGAAAGCCCACGAGCTTCCTCATACACAAGCGCTGCATCTCCGCATGTTGGTAGTGCCCGTAAGGGACGGGGGAGCAAGGCTCGAGAGGAAGGAATTTGCAGCTTGCATAATAACGTGCGTTCCATGAATCACCTGCAGCTTAATAAGCAGTCAGGACTGTACGAGTGTGTGCACGGTTTTCATTGCCTTGAGGACGGAGGGTCTGCCGCTGTTACACCGTGCAACTTCAAGAACGCCAGCGCCGCAAGTAACCTTAGCCTGGGTGCCAGCAAAACCTACGTCACTAACCCCAATTTGGGGGCCCAGCACGCTTTCAAGGCGTCACAATGGCAATCCCGGCAAACGAAGGAGGGCAAAAGTGCCTTTAATGAAAACGTTGGCATCGTCAAGACAATGACCCCAACGGCCTCAACTGCCCCAAAACTCCAAAATGTTCCCACCGCTGTCACCGCCAGCGCTGTCAGCAGCAGCAGCAGCAGTCATTGCAACAACAACAACAACAACAACAACAACCTACAAACCAACGGTAGACCACGCGTTGCCGGGTGCAATAAGAACGGAACCGATGACCCCGTGCACCATGAGTCAGGTGGGCTCTACGTGAAGGGTGACACACCGGGATTTACTTGTGATATGAACATACTGCAAAACCTACTTCAAACTGTTCGTGAGCTAGCCACGGAGGAAGGAGAGTAACTGTTGTGAAAGGGGCCTGCAGATGCATGCCTCGGAAGGAAAGGGTTGTCAAGGCGGGTGAAGCTGGTGGAGGGAAAGACACCTTTTTCCGGTTGGTGGGGGCGTGTGTATCCTCTTCTTCTTTACCCTGTTTTTGTTTTCCGCCTCACCCCGTGCTGTTTGTTGACCACCCCTCCCCCTCCCCCACCTTCGGCCGGCCTCCGCCGCACCTGCACAATGCTCGAAAGCTGCATTCAAATTTAACTGAGAAAAAACGGACCTAATCAGAGAGAGCCTAGAAGACATCAAGTTGTGTTCACTTTCCGTGTACTTCCTTGACTCTCCTTGAGTGTTTGTGGGCGTGCGTGGCGTCATCGCCGCCAAGTTCCGCTTTAGAGTGCCTTACTGCGCTCTCCCGTCCGGGAATACACATTCACTGAGACACGCACACGCACACACACCCACATCAAAACAAACCGTCGGGTGGCTTTATAGAGCGGAGCTGTGAGGCCGTAGTGCCTCTCCGGGAAGGGGGCGGGCGGGTTTGCGGGCCGAACTGCGCGGGATTCAAGTGCCTGTCGCCCCCCCCCCCCCCTCGCCGTCTTCTCTTCCTCTCTCTCTGCGGGAGGAGGAGACAACACCTGGTGGCGTTGTTGGTGGGGAAAGGAAAATAAAAAGGACGGGGTGCAACGAAGAAGTTGGGGCAAGGGCTGTGGCCAGATGTACAAAATTGGCAGCAAAGAAAAGTGCACCGAGTGCACAGACAGAACGACAATAAAAAAAAAAGCGAATATACATAAAATAACGCATTTCAAATGTAATGATATTACCTTTTCGCGTGCCAAGAGGAAAGAGAGATATTGGCGGAAACACGAAGCAAAAAGGGAAGAGGAGGAAACACCAACTATGAGCGGGGCTTTATTTTGTTTTTATCCGTTTATGTGCCTCTGTGAAATTTTAAGGACCAACACGAAGGAAGGCGCCTAACCCACGCACATAGATATAGGAGAAAAAAACATACAAATTTTTGTTTATTCTTTTTTTTTCTGTAGATAATTTTTTTTTATTTGCCCTTAATTTTTTGGTTCTTTGTTGGTGTTATGGCCCTTCCTCCTTGCGGTGTGTTTGTCGCATCTCACTACTTTTGGTCACGACTAGTTTTGTTACGCATAACATTGCTTTGTTTGCGTGTTGGTTTCTTTGTTTTTTTTTTATCTTGGTGTTCTTTCGGTCGACTTCTTTGTCGTATGTATAGGGCGCTTATCTACATTCCCACATACATTTGCCGCGTTCGTTTCTCCACAGCTTGTTGATGCTGTACTACCCATTAACTCTTTGGACGACGGCGGCGAAAACCGACTGCAGTCGCCGTCTTTTGGCTGGAGGTGCTAGTTTGTTTGAAAGGTTTCTGCTCAGCCGAGGTTGTTGGCCAATTTTCTTTTTCCCCCTATTTATCTCTCCTTCTTCTTTTTTTGTTGTTTTGCTGTGTGCGTGAACGGGCTCTCCCCTTCTCTCTTTGTTCTCCGCTCGTTCCCTCCCCCATCCTTTTTTTTTTTTTCCAATGCCCGTCTCGAGTTCTCTCCCTCTGTGTGGGTGGGGGGGCTGCCGCCACTGCTGGCGGATGCAACGCGGGAGGCGGAGCGGAGGTGCGTGACTTATTTGCCGTGCCTGTGCGTATGTGCGTTCCCCTGCGCAACCTGATGTATATACGTACTTACATATTTAGTATATCCATATCGCGGCTTGATTCTTATTTTATTGCAGTTTCGCAGTAGCCTCGCGGTGCCTTCTTCGGCCAACACGCCTGCACCTCCCCTCCGCTCCTCGTCGCAGTGCCGCCATCCGCAGAAGGGATTTATTTGTAACACAATACTGGTACGCATTACGCACTCTTCGCCACTTCAGGTCGTTTGTATGACTTCTTTTTTTTTTACTTGTTGTTGTTGTTTTCCTACGTATATGGATGCGTGTGTGCTTTTATACGCCTTTTTTTTTGTTTCGGCTCTGTCTTTGCGTTCATCGTTCCTTTCCTTCCTCTCCCGCCCGGTTGATTGCATTGTTTGTTCTTTCCTTGCAGCGCACTTCAGTGTATGCGTGGTGTATTGCCGTACAGGCGGTGCAGGGAGTAACGGCGGTCGTCACCGACGTTCCCTTGGGCTCCGTCCCCATCACACCCCCGCCACTGCGGCTCCTGCCACCCTTTGTAGGCTCCGCGGCCAATAACCTGTTGTATCACTTTTTTCTGGCTGACAGGAGAGAGCTCCGTCATGTAAACCACTCTATATCTATCTCTGTGTTTGTGTTTGTGTGTGCGTGTGTGTGTGGAACTGAGGGCGGGGGCTATACAATCAAAAAAAAACAAGAAAACAAGTACTGTACCTAAAAAACGAGGATTAGAAGGAGGATGCGAATGTGTGGTGAGACAGGAAGCTGGAATCGTTTTTTTTTTTTGTTCCTTCCGCATACTGCTCGGCCTCCTTGACTTGTCGAGTTTTTTCTTTTTTTCCGAGGGCCTGCGCGAATCGCGGCGGGCGAGCCAAAAATCAAAGAGCAAAACCAGCAACGAGAGTGTGCGAGAAAAACATGACCCAACGCGAAGGCGACAGTGGCGTATGGAAGTGGTGTGAGGGGGCGCTGCTGCGTTTTGCCGCCGCCTCGTCCGATGTTTTTCCAGAAGGTGGAGGGGGGAAGGGAGGCAAAGCGCAGTGAGCGACTGCGGCAGGGGCGTCCAGGCATACTGCCCTCTCCTTCTCTCTCCACTCCCCTAGTAACCCACAACACACCACCAACAAAGATACGTCGCACCAAGACGAAACAGTAGTGGTCAAGCACGTGTTTCTGACAGCTTTTTCTGAATGCGCGGCACGATAAGAAGATGCGTGAAGCAAAAGAATGCATCAAAATTGGGAAAGGGGAGAAGTATAAGGCTTTGATGGGAGGATACTATTTTGTTGTTGTTTGCTATGGTGTGGGCGCACACGGTGTCCGAGGCTTGTTCGTGGATGTATATACACGTACATTGTTTTGATTCCCCCCCCCCTCCCGAGTGAATGCCTCCGGGTGGATGTGCCTGGATGCGTGTGTGACGCCCTTACTGTTATGTAATATAGGAGATTGGTCTGAAAAACGGAGTCTCAAGTGGAGACGCTTGGGAAGCATTACTAAGCCGCAATTGGTAAACATGCATATGTATGCGTATATATGTATGGTACGTGGAACGGGTGCGTTCTGATGGGGCGTTGCCCACGCATGGGGTAGTTGGAAGGGGCGGACTTGCCCGCCCCTCCCCTACTTATCTTCTCTCACGGCAATTTCCCCCGCCCCAACCACAGCGGAAGAAGACTCGCTGTGGTAGCTACGCCCACAAAACGTCTTCAACGAAGTAAACGAGAACTTGTTTGTTGTTGTTTTCGGTATGCGTGTGCATGCGCAGTAGTGGCGACAGTGCGTGCATGTGTCAACTGCAGCCGTCCCCTCGCCTTGCTTCACTCCTTCCTGGGCCTTCTCATACGGCTCGTGGTGCACGCATGGACGAAGGAAAGCAACAGTAGACGAAGAGAGGGGGTAAGAACAAGAAAGGTCATTCCCCGTCTTTTGCTTATTGCCTACTTTTTTTTGTTTTTGTTTTTTTTTGTTTTTTTAAGTATTTGGCTCTTTCCCCTCGCGTCCGTCCCCCGCGCCGGCGCTGCTGGTCTGCGCCTTCGCGGCGCATCAACTCTGCGGTGCTGAATGGCCGTCGTGCCCAGCGACGCGACAAAAACGAAGGAACTTTCTGTTACGGTGTGTGTGTGTGGTGGGGAGAGGGCGAGGGGCGGGAAAAACGGCGTGGAGAAGATGCTGAGGAAGACGAAGAAGGAAAAGGAAAAGGAAAAAAAAAAGAAAGAGATCATAAACAGGAAAAATGGAGAGGTAGTGAAGTGGGGCGAGGGTGTTCGTGGAGTGCTTCTTGAAGAGAAACAGCAAAAGAAAAAAAAACCTGCTTGTAAAGACGCTGACTATCACTACGGCCGCCGTTATTACTAATATTGATACTACTGTT